TAATTATTTTCAAAGCCATATAAAATTTATTATCACTTACATAGTGTTTGCAGACAAGAGAGATTTTCAAAAAAAAAAGAGTTTTTATATGTTTTACTAGTAAATTTTAGAGCACTCTCATGACCCGTGTCAGGGGAGTGTACGTGCGTAAGTATTGGATATAAAGCTACAATTCAATGAAGTGGCAGTGATGGTATCAACAAGCATATTATTTATTATGTGACATAATGAGAGGTTGATTATGATGTGGCTGTAAAACTGACCAGCGTGACTGATGACGTTTTGAAAAGTAATAAAAATTTACTAGTATTTGTCTTATCCAACTAATGCAATATCTGCTGTGCTTCCCAACCTACATTTACCATGGTAAGGTATATCGTGCTTCGCACGTGAGGCAGATTTTATTTTGTATGTTGATATTATACGGGTTAATAGAAGTATCGAAAGTTGTTCGTGCGCCATAAGTTACAGAGAATTCATCGAACGAAGAATCGAAACATCGTTTGACGAACGTTTGGAATCGGCTATAAATAATAGTGTGGCATTGAGTGTTAAACACATTTAGTATTAGTAAGGCGACTTTTAACTAATTATTAATCGTAGTTTCTCTTTTTTACCAGTTGGAAAGAATAACAAGGAAAAGAGACAACTGAGTAAATTAACACAAAAAGCAAAAAACTTTACAACTGCACTGGGGGTAATTCGGGAGAGTATAAAAATAGGAACAGATTTTAATACTAAGAGTAAGTTAGACTCATTTCTCAATCGTGTTGATGGCTTATTATTTACTTAGTAGATACGCCGAATTTACCATGGGACTTGCTTATCTGATTTGACGCGTATTCGAAAAAACAATCACATGGTGTTTTGAATAATAATAATAATAATAATCAAATTTCATAGAAACTTTAATAATACAGAAATGTCTGACAATTCTACGGGCGTTTATCATCTTAACTTTTGTATTGTTTGTGTTAATGAGTGTTTGTTATTAAGCTGAGATACTTGCAATAAAGCGCATTCTCTGAATAGTGTTACAACAACTTGTTCTGCAGCGCACTGAACCTTTGAAATCATTTCAGTTACTTTTTTAGTGTTGGCGATCCGGAGAGCGAAGCGATTCTTGTATATCAATGGGTGCATATCCTAGGGGGAAAAAGGTATAAATATAATATTATAGAACGGCAAACTCGAAAGCATGAGAGCAAGATGGACTCACCCCATTTCGACAACAAAGCAACCGTATCTTTCAAACCAAGCCACCAAGCTTTAGTGCTCTTTCTCTTAACTAAATCTGTTTCGTGTTGCAATTCCATAACGGGCTGTATAATAATTGACAGAGCCCACATAAAAAAAGCGGGAATTTAGTATTCTATTACTTAATAAATCTTTCATTCACGTTATATATCATGGCAATTCTAATGCGTTTACACATGCATCTGGACATTAACGACGGCTGGCTTTAATGACACAGAAATTAATGACGTATATAACGACATTATTCTGGATGTAATAATCTTTTTTAGTGTTCCGACTATCTCGCTATAGCCCTGATCAGAATGTATCTGCTCCAACCATTTTGCATAACATACCGTAAAGACAACGTGAGCTCCACTAATTCCAATGACAACCGCGTTCTTCTTCAACAAGTCGTCCTTCTCTTCTTGCGATGCCAAGTTTGAAGTAACATGTTTTTCCAAGAAATTTACACACTTCACCGCTAACCTTGTTGCCCGGATACGGTCAAGAGGAGATGGAGTGCTACCTTGTTGGATATGTCCCAGAATACATGTACGACAATCAAATAAACCTTGGCCTTCAGTCTTTATAATGTTAGCTATCACATCCGTTGTATAAGTGTCCGAGAGAGATTCATTTCTTAGAGAATATACGAAAGTGAATTTAGTGTAAGAATCAGAGCAATTAAGGTTGGTTGGAACGTACAGGCATGCTATTGTCTTGATAAACTCATACAAATATTTACCTCAAAATCAGCCGACCTGAACTTACTCCTTTATCATCATCACCAAATCTTCTTATGAAATGATTCACGTCGTCTTGTAATCTCTTCAAAGATATTCCCTCTTCAGGTATATAGCAACTTGTAGCACCAACCTTCACGAAACGAATAAAATTGCATAAACATTCTCGCTCATTTTACACCATTTAGACTTGTCCGTAACAAACTTGGGGATCTATTTCATAAAAACATACCGCAAGCCCAGACAAAACAGCCAAGTATCCACACGTACCACCTTGCACTTCAACCACAAACACTCTCCTCCTACTAGCCGTCGCGCTTTGCTTCAAAGCATCGCAACTGTCAACAATAGCATTTAATGCGGTATCACTTCCCAGAGAAAAATCCGTTCCGGGGACATTGTTCGAAATAGTCGCTGGTAAACACACCATGGGTATGCGGAAGGACGGATACCTCGGCCGTTCGCTATTCAAAATAATCAAACTTCTATACGCCTCAAATCCTCCGATGATCAGCAGCGCCTTGATCGAATGTTGTTGCATTTTATACGCGACCATGCCTAAATCAATATCCGGCAGTGTGCGATTTGTACCTAGTTCACTGCCTCCCTTTGACGCCCAATCTTCGGTACCTAACCAAGTAAACTCGTGGACGTTATCTTTGAGAAGACCCGGAAAGCCGTTATGAATTGCGACAGGAATGTGGCCGCTATTAAGGGCATAACGAACAGCTGCCCTCGTTGCGGTATTCATACCCCCTGCTGGGGCGCCAACGTGAATTATTCCTATTCGGAGACGCTATTCAAAGATAAATCTTTATCAGGGCTTGTAGCAATATATTCAGAAGCGTTTTACGAGGAAAAAAAAAAGAATGCAAAAACTCGGGGGAAAGGTAATGTAAAGAAGCGCGCGAAAAATGATTACTCTTTACCTGATCTTCAGAAAAAGTCAAGTCATCGCTGTAGTTCGTATTGATACTCGTATAAACAACAAAATCTTCGCCAAATTCGGGATCTCTCAATTCCATGGCGGCACGAAAGTCCTTTTCTTTAATCGCTGTGACTATTTGACGATTCTACGGCGGAATAAGTCAGATAACCGTCACAACTAGGAACAAACGGCGAACAATAATCACACACAAAGTTCATCGTATTATATCTCAAAACCGTATTACCAGCTCGACGGCTTCCATTAATGGTAAGCGTGTGACCGCATTCTCTCGTAGACCAATCATTGACGGCTGAGTTTCTGGAGAAGCACTCAATACTGCATCAACCGCCTCAACGCCTTGTCTCGTTGCCTAACGAATCATAAGACAATGTTAGCGTGTTAAAAGCAACCTTTCATCGCGTTAGGCTTTTCGGTCATGTAACTAGACAGCACTCACAAGATTCCTATCGAAAGCACAAGGCCGTCCACCACGTTGAGTATGTCCGAGACAAGTAACACGCGTATCCAATCCCATCTTTGTGGTTAAAATTTCTTTGACATAATCTGCTTTTATTGGTTTTAGATTTTGATCTATTGCCCCTTCAGCGACAATGATAATTGTCTTGCGTTTTCCACGTTCGCCAACGCCCCGATTCTATAACCACGAAACGTATATGATTGAGTTAGCAGCCAATTAATTAATCCGTATTTTGATAATAGCGTGAACTCACCTTTCTCAATATATTGCAGAATTGTTCCTCCCAATCATCTCCGACTGGAGGACGCTCAGGTAAAAAGACGTAATCTGCGCCTACGCTATCAAGCATTTGATATTACTCTACCATTGTTCCAAATCCACATGTAGTTTCAACATTTACGCTCTTTATGTCTTGCTCGATTACAAGAGTGTTCCTTCATTGCTCACCTAATAGCTGCCATCAACGCCAACCAGCCACAGTGACGTCCCATAACTTCAATTACAAAAGCTCTCGAATGACTAGCAGCGGTGGACGAGATGCTGTCCAAAGCTTCGCAGATACGATGAAGAGAGGTGGCGGCACCGATAGTTATATCAGTCGAAGACATGTCGTTATCAATCGATCCGACAAGACCGACGATGGTTAGATGAGTGTAAGGTTCGGTTTCGTCAATGCTTAGTCGGCCTGAACGTATGATATATAGACATAGCGAATAGTGAATAAGTTTTCCGGATTGGTGGGTACGGTCAACCTTATCCCTGACAACCTACCCTCGCTCACAAGCTCCTCTAATAATCCCGTCCATTCCGATCGTAGAATGTTGGCACCAGTCAATGACCCATCGCCACCGACAACAATAAGCGCGTCGATTCCTTTTTTTACAAGGTTATGCGCGGCACGCAAACGTCCTTCCCGTGTACGGAATTCTTCGCAACGAGCCGTGCCGATCAAAGTCCCCCCCTTGATTATGAAAAATACAATAACAATAGTTTAGGAGACAAGTACGACAAATAAGTAGAGACAATGGAGGAGGACAAAGACATGTAAAGTTTACGATTGCCAAGTATCCTCTAACGTCAGCCCAACGAAACTGTTTAATCATGTCATCACCTAGGACGAGACCTAACAATAAATAAATATCGCTGCCATTAATGGCAGCCGATCATAAACTCTTCCCGATCACTGTTCTAATTCGCTAGTCCTACTCGTACACTTTTTTTTCACCTTTATTTCCCTCCTGTCATATGTGTCCCTACCTTTATATCCCTCAAATATGGCATAAGCCTCGCATCCTTTGGCGATAGCAACTCTAACGATAGCTCTGACCGCCGCGTTCATTCCAGGTGAGTCACCTCCGCTAGTCAAAATACCAATTCTCTTTCTAACACGTCCTTCATTTAAAGCCTCCTCCAACTCCGCTCCTATTTCCAATTTCGAAACTTTATGCCCTGTTTGCGCTTTATGTACTGGTTCTCTTTCCACTCTAGTCTCCATCACGCTAGGTGGCAGGAGCACTCTTCGTGAGAAAGGAGACATTTTGTTTGTAAAACAAATAAGGTTGTTTAATGGATCGTGCGCGTAAACATCAAGTTGAGAAACATTGGCTGGATACATAAACGGAGAAGATAACGGAGAAGGAACGGGATCCGAGAGAGAAGGAACTGATAACATGGTTGATGTCTTGGCGGTGGTCGAGTAGGATTTGAATGCGACCGATAAGGAAGTTAATTGTGATTTTATTTCCTTTAGAAGAGAGACTAATATTAGTCGATCTCGTTGTTGAATGATAGAAAGCAACTTGCACATACCTCGATATCTCCGGTGATAACGGTAAAGCATACAGGCTGTAATCTCCAATCACCCTCCACAGGCCTTTCTTTCAAATGGGCGTGCTCGTTGTGAACTAATTTAATAGTGATATCTTTTTCACCTTGCTCACCAAACAGATGCAATAATGTATGTTTCGCTGCTTCGTTCTGTTTGACTGTCACAAAACCAAACCCATTATAGAAATCTCTACATCGTGTATACAATTCAATAGTTGGAGCGGTGATTGTAAGGTGCGAGAATCCAGTGA